CCCCAAAACCCCAAAACCCCAAAACCCCAAAACCCCAAAACCCCAAAACCCCAAATTATGATAATTCAATTGAATTGCTATTTATTTTAGAAATGAAATGATTTTGCTATGAGCTCAAACAAAACCACTGGTGGTATAAAAAGAGAAATGTATGAATACAGCGACAATAAGGAGCCTTCTTCAAGTCTTAGCCCAAAAAAAGAGGAATAATTTACTCAAAATTTTCAAAATGCTCTTATTTTCATTTTCTGACAACCTGCAGCCAGTACCAATCTCCTTGCTACAATTCTGCATTGCTCTAGATACTCTATCCTGCCCCTCAAGCCCTTCTTTAAGGTAAAAAATTCTTTCTTTCAGTTGTTCTAATTCTACCTCGAATCTCACCAATGCATGTAGAAATTCTACCTATTTTAGAAAGAATAAAAAACCGTGAAGGAATTTTATGTTTAATGGGTTTTTAATTATTTGAGATTTTTATGATTTTTAAGGATTTTTACTTTGAAGTGGGTTTTGGGAATTTTAGGGATTCGGTGATTTTTGAGGATTTTGAGGGAGATTGAGGAAAGCCGTTTTTTGGGAGTTGGAAATGGATTTTGGTTGGATATGAGGAGTTTGGATTGGAAATGGTGTTATTTTTGAGAGGAAGGAGATAGAGATCATTTTTGTGTGGTTTGTGTTTTAGGGCTAGATATGATTTTTTGAGATTAATTTGAAGCAAATAAAGCTTTATCGGTTAATGAGGTATCGATAAGAGCAGTATTGGTGAAATTTAACCATAGCTTTCTGTCCAAAATCGAAATTCATTACTTCTTCAAGGCTAGAAATCTTGAATCTCAAAAAATATCAAATGTAAGATTTTATGAAGGAAATTTTTTGACTCCTATTAGGTTGTAAAAAGCAATCTACATCTCTATTCATACAAACTCCCCCTAGAATCCTTTCATCCCCCTCCTCTTGCTCTTATTCCCATCTCTAATCCTTTTCTGCTTCTTCCTCGAAACATCTCTCCTTTAGCTGTTCATGACCTTTTATCCTAGACCCAAGTAATTCCCGGACTCTTGGCCATGACTCAGTTCAAATCTCAATTTTGTATGAAACCTAGTGCAAAATTTTTACGAATTCGTAAAAATCTGACTTTGAATGAGGCAAAGTTTTTATTCATTAAATTTGACATCGCAAAGAAGTGTAAAGGGGTAAAAGGTTATGTACAGGTTTTTATGATTTATAAAATTCAATAAAAACTACCCTCTGGGGTTTTGGGGTTTTGGGGTTTTGGGGTTTTGGGGTTTTGGGG